AAACACCGAATAACCTTTCGCAATAATTGCGCGCTGGGAGCGAAGCGCATAGCGCCGTTTCGGCGTTCCTCCGTCAGCACTCCAAAAAAATATTCTTTGCACGGCAGGATGCAATTATCGCGAAAGGAATGGGAGGAGAGGGGAGGGGCCTATGAGGCGCTAACATCAGAGGCGACTCAAAACAAATAATAAAATGAGCCGTGAGTGCATCGCCGCGCCCCGCCCCGACATGCGTCCACTTTTGACTAATAGCCAGTCGGGCCGGGGCAAAACACTGACGCCTCGGCCGGGCCGGGCCCGTCTGGCCAAACCTGGGCCAAACCGAAAAGCAGGCAAAAGCGTAGCGGGCTAGTAGGCCGCTAGACCGCGCCCGGGGCCTCTGCGTGGGTCGGACGCTCCGGGGACGGGGCGAGGGGGAGGGAGACGGGGGTCGTCCCCGTGATAGGTGCCAATTTTGGGGCGGGCGCCCGCCTTCCCTCCCCGGAGTAATTTGAGTGCCCTTTTATCAAGGCAGTGGGCCTGGCCCCGCAGGCCCCGTGAGCGCGACTCCCCCTCTACCTTTCGTCTTGCTCATCTCTTCTTGCCGCTCCTCGGCCTCGGCCCACAACGCGCCCCGCGCCCCGCCCACCAACTCCCCGTCTTCATCAGCGGCCGCACAATGCGACGTCAGTCAGGTTTAGCACCTTCCAGCTCCTCCGACACATTTCTCATATTGCGTCGCTGCATTCCCTGACCTAGCCTAATCCTCGCCGGCCTTGGCTTGGCCGCCGCCGCCGCCTGCTCGACGGCGGTCTTATCTAAATGCGTTTCAAATACAGAAAAACGCACTACCCCCGCCGGCTGGCTCGGGTCAGACACACAGTATCTTTACGCGCCGGCGGGCCCGGGAGCGCAGGACACGTCCCTACCGCTCTGTCTGTCCCTCTGTGTGTTTGTGTGAGAGTGTGTCCAGAGGAAAAGACAAAAGCATGTGAGGCCCCTGCCCGCCGGGGGGCGGTGGTGCGGTGGTGCTAGCTCAAGTGCGCTGGCGGCGACACGACCGGGACACCGGGACCACGACCCGGGCGGGATGTTTGGACAGGACACAGCAGCGGCAGCTGAGGGCGAGGGAAGTCCTCGCCACCCACCTGCGCCGGCTTATTCGTGGTTTGAGCTCCGTATATTTATCATTTTTAGCAAACAGTGTAAGGTAAGAGAGAGAGGGAGGGGGGGGGGGAAGCAAAGAAGGATGCAAAAAAATGTATTTAGGCGCAGAGGCGTACTTTGGTGGTGTGGCTGGTGCAGGTTGACCCCGGCGGCCCGGCCGGCCTGCCCCAGGTGATTAGGACGGGCGGCGCCAGGCCCTGACCGTCCTGCCCAGGTCCTGCCTGACCCAGCGCCCCGCCCCGCCCCAGGCCACAAGGCAGAGGCGCCAGAATTTGTCGCGGTTTCTGCGAGATTAATTTGAGAGCGAGACAGACGGCGGCGGTGCAATTTGTGGATTTGTGCCGCCGCCGCGACTAGGTCGGGCAGCCCGTGAGCTCCGACAGAGCAGCTCGCCCCGGGGCAAAGGGGGCGGGAGGACAGCCGCGCGCGGTCACGCCGCAAGTTTTTAGCGGTGTGCCGACCGAACATGACCTGGCCGACCTATGGCCTGCGCCTTGCCGTGCCGTGCCTCTGCCCGCTTCTTGGACTATCGACGCGGAAAGGTGTGCATCGCCACACCAAAGTATCCGATTGCCAAAAGGCCATATCACTCTGTGGCATCTGAGTTGGGGCGGGCGGGGGGGGGGAGGCTGCGCAGCGAGACGGCTGGCGCCACCTACGAGGGACCGTCGGCGAGCCACGTGAGCGGGGCGGGACAAGGGGGCAGCCGTAGAGGAACACCGCCACCACCACCACCACCACCACCCGACCACCCCCATCCCATCCCGCCGGCGACCCACGGACGCCAAACGGGTCGCCCACTTTGAGATGGCGATAATCCCAGGATGCAGCAAGAAAGGGTACGCCACGCTAGCCTAATAACAGGATGAGGTGAAACACCTGGAGGGAGGGCTCGGGAGGGTGGCCTTCCCCGTTCCGCCCTGCCAGATGTCACCGGGTGGCTATGAAGCGGGGAGGACCCGACCACATGGCGTGGAGCGAGTGTGTGTGATTTGGACGATTCCCCAGAAGAAAGTTCGTGGGAATTGGACACATAACCGACACAAACCCTTCCGTTAATGGGGCCAACCCGGCCGACCGTGATAACAACTATCGAGTGAAAACTGTCATATCGATACAGACAAGGAGGACCTTCGCCTAGACAAGCGAAAAATTCACAGCTTGATATGCGTATATGGTACGATATTGTACCATATTTCATGAGACATTTTGCTGTTGTTTTTAACAGCGGCAGTTTTAAATATTTGATTATAAAACAATAAATATGTATGGCTCGCCCAGATGTCATCGCCGAGCTATTACAGTTCGCAAAGGGAGCTTTCCTGCGCACAAGTGACGTTACGAACAGACATGAAAACGTCCGGTTCATGAACTAATTACCGCCGTACAACGCAAGTGTAATCGAAAGAGTGTACCGTCGCGTCGACACACGCCACGCCGAGCAATGTGGCGGACAAGTACGTAGCTCTAGGCCGTGGTCAACAGGACCTCCGCCAGGACACCTGCTGCGCCCACGGCTGCTGCCGTGCGGCCCTCACGCGATGCACGCAATGGGCGTCATGAAGGTGATGACCACGGCCCACGGCCAGGCCGGGAGACCTGCGAGTCCTGCAGGCCCTGCACCACCTGCCCTGCCGTCTGGCGATCATAACCTCAAAGAGCCACTAACCTGCAGCCTCCGGCAGCGTCGAGGCGAGATCCGTTGAGTTGAGGAACGCGAGTAGTCATGCCGCAGCCAGTCAGAACACGTAAACTTAACCGTAATCGATAATTAGCACGCCAAATACCAGTGGTGGGATAATTTTGGTCCACAATAAACAAACGTAACAATAGGCCGGCAAGGCACGGCACGGCAGCTGGACACACGCACATGCACGCACACGACCACTCGACAGTTGACACCGGAAACTCATGAGACGACCATAGGCGACAACGCCAGGGGGCAGCACATGCACGACCGCTCAGATTTTAAACTCTATATGTCAAACGGACAGTTCTAGCCTTCGGCATATACAATGTTTGTTTTCTCCCCTCTTTTTTCAAATGTTCAAGTCGCCGTTGGACGTCAGCTCCGACATGAAATATAAATGGTGAGCACGCGCGGTCAATCCGCAGCCGAATCCCAAAACACATACGAGCCCCCGAGCCCCACCCCACCCCTCGCCCCGCTGCACCCTGGGGGGGCCGAGGGGCCCTAGGGGGCCCTGTATGCTGCGGGCGCTGGGTGCGTCGTGCTCCTCCGGGGGGCGTATGCATTCACGCGCAGGCTACTCCCGCTGATCGACTATTTCATGCCTCGTTCGAAATAAATCGAATCCCATTATTCCCCCCGGGGCGCGGGCGATAGGCGTTGTTGTGGTCCTCTCCGTACAGTCTGTGCCCAGTGCCCAGCGGCAGCGGTCGCCACCGGGTCCGGTGCATTATGTAGATGTGGGCCTCATGCACTGTTGCGCGGTGTAATTGGAAGTAGACTTGGAGGAGAGCGGGGCGGAAGGGAAGGCCTCGATTCACTTTCCCCTTGAACCTGACGCCTGGCGCATCCATCTCTACTGCTGCTGTTTGCCCACCGCTGAACGCATTGTTGTAGCCCGGTGGCGGTTATTTTACGGATGGGGTTACATTTTACGTGAGATCTTTTTTTGAGTCTCCCGTTGTTTTGTTTTTTTCAAGTCGAGGTTTTACGGGGGTGCGGAGGTGCGGGCGCGCCGTCCCCGAGCTCCGTGGCGCCCTGGGCCGGCCGGCTGGGCACGGACACAATCTGGTGCCGGAGAGGGGCCAGAGGGACGCGCCTTGTCGTAGGGCCAATAACTGTCAAGGGCCGCCTGTCGTGTCGCCCTAGACTTTGGTCCGGCACTCGGATCCAAAGAGTAAAAAATAAGAAGGAAGGAAAAGGGGCGTCAGAGGGTGGCTCTGTCCTGCAGCAATTACACCGACCATGGAGGCCACCTGCCTACGACACGAGTCCTTTGCATGTTCTGTCGGGAACGTGGCTGGGTAATGAGTGAAAGGAACGGGGGTGAGTGGGCGACAGCACCGCGGCCGCCGTGGAGGGTTGCCCCCGACGCGAGCCGCGAGCACCTTCGACACCGTCCTGCGGGCCGCCGAGCCGAGGCCGGAGGGGCTGCGCTGCCGCCGTGGCCTACGATAAAAGCACCGCCAGGTAAAGAAAGAAAAGGAACACGAAAAAACCCTTAAACGGAGGAAATTGTCGATAATTTGAGGGCTGGAGAGGGTTGGGGATGGGTGACCGTTTTTGAGGCAGCCTCGGGCGGACAAGCGCTAAACACTCCGAAATCTCCCCTTTCCTGCCCTTGCCCCCCCCCCCCGGTCCCTCGGCCCGGGGCCCGCCACGCCCCGCCCTCACGACATCGTGCCGTCTGGTCTGGGTCCAGGAAGGTAGGACCGGGCCGGGGAAGGCAGCGGCGGCGGCTGCCCCGCGATCTACACGCAACAGGTG